GAAACAAAGGTGTTAGTTGATGGTACAATGTGAAAAATCTGATAGTTGAGGGGATAAAGTGAAAAAGGGTGATAATTCAGAGGGTGTAAATATAATGTATTCCAAAATGCGCTCATAAATTCCATGCAATTGGGATGACGCTATAAATTTTCACTTTTATTTTTAAACTTAGTGTTTGTTATCGTGGGATCATGTATTAGAGCCAAATGCAAATTCTTTAATTTGATTGTTATCTCTAAATCCATGTTTAGTATGGACTAATCTCATTATCTCGTTGATCTTTCTTATATGACCGTTAAAACAAAATCAATCAAAACATATACATATTTGAATCACAAGCTAAAAACAAAAAAAAAAAAGAAGCAAAACAGAGTCAATCTTGAAATTTGCGTGATCAATAATGCTCCGTTTGGTATGAAGAAAAAGTGGGAGGATGGAAAGTTAAAAAAGTGGAAAGTTAGAGAAATAAATAAAACATCATGTTTGATAAAAAAAAGAAATTAAAAAGGATGAAAAAGTAGATGAATTAACTTTCCTTTCAACTCACCAAAATCAATCTCTCCAAAATCAAAAGGAAAGTGGATGAAAAGTTAATTATTTGTTTTGAGATGTATCTTATTTGTCTATATATCTTATGTATATATTAATTTCATATAAAAATACAATGATAAAATATGTATATATATTTTTAAAAAATTAAAAATTAAAAATTAAAAATTTAAATTAAAAAAAATATTTTTTCCATCTTAACTAAGGATGAAAATTTTCTACTTAACACGATTCGATACGAAAATAAATAGGTCATCTCACAACGACACGACACAATTAGTTAAATGAGTTAAGTTAAGTTTGATTAACATTCGACACAAACTCATAATAACTCAATACAAATCTAACACAACACGACTCGATTCTATTGTCACCTCTAATCTTATCCAGCACAAAAAAAAATAGTCATTTTTATTTTTCATCTATCCAACTAAACACAAAGGAAGGAAAGTGTATCCTTCTTACTTTTCATCATTGAAGGATAGAAAAATATATCCCTCCTACTTTCCATCATTCTTATTTTTCATCCTTCCTACCAAACGGAGCATAAGGGACAGGAAAAGTAACCTTGGATCGATTGTACGGTTGACATGCAGAGACCTCGAGACGTGAAGCTTCGAGAAGAGAGGACGTCGTAGATTTAAGGAGAGAAGAGAACGCCACTACAAAGCAAGGAGCTATTCTTTTTTGATATCGATCGGGTGATTGATATTGCAAAAGTGGTAGTAGTTACAGCAAAATCCTAATGCTCTGTTTGATACGATGGAATAATAGGAGGATGAAAAGTTGGAAGGATGAAAAGTTGGAGGGATAAATAAAATCTCTTGTTTGGTAAGGAAGACAAGTGAGAAGGATGAAAAAGTGGATGAATTAACTTTCCTTCCAACTCACCAAAATCAATCCCTCCAAAATCGGAAGGAAAGTAGATGAAAAGTTAATTATTTGTGTTGAGATATATCTTATTTGTCTATATATTTTATGTATACATTAATTTCATATAGAAATACAATAGTAAAATATGTATATATATTTTAAAAATAAATTTTAAAAAAAATTAAAAAAATTAAAATTTTAAATTTAAAAAAAGTATTTTTTCCATCTTAAGTATGGTGGAAATTTTCGACTCAACATGATGACACGACTCGAACTCGATACAAAAATAAACAGGTTAACTCGCAACTCGACACAACACAATTAGTTAAATGAGTTAAGTTAGGTTTGACTAATATTCGACACAAACATATAATGCCTCAACACGAATCTGACATGACACAATTCGATTCGATTGTCACCCTTAATCTTAGTCAGCACAAAAAAAAAATAGTCATTTTTATTTTTCATCCATCCAACCAAACACAAAAAAAGAAAAATGTATCTTTATTATTTTTCATCCCCTCTACCAAACGGAGCATAAGAGAGAGATAGAGAAGGGTTTTAGCTTTTGAGAGAAAGCGTAAGCCAGGAGCTCAAGTTTTTAAATGCGCAAAATGAGCGGAGATTCTTGGGTATTAATATTAGAGTAATACTACATGGACTTAAAAACTAGACTTAAAAATTAGACTTGATAATCTCAACCATTGAATAGGTAATAGGTCCCAATAAATGCTGGGATCCACAGTGAAATCAATGGTTGAGATTATCAAGTCTAATTTTTAAGTCTACTTTTTAAGTCCATGTAGCATTACTCATTAATATTATCCCCAACCCAATAGAACAGAAGCCCACCATCTCTCTCTCTCCCTCTCATGACAACGTTAAAAGCTGTTTCTTTCTCTTTCTACAACTCACAACAACTTTCTCTATTTCAAACGTTGGAGAGTTTGTCGTGTTGTTCTCGTCAAGCTAAGCTCACATTAGCTCCTCGATAGCCACGTCAGACGGAACCTGGCCTGGGTTTCGCTCCGACTGCTCCACCTCAGCATTTTCTCTTTTCTTCCCCTTTGGCTTACCCAACGAGAAGATGCAGAATCAGAACCAGAACCAGAAAAGATAAAAAAACTGTAAAATGTATATATATATTGAGATCGTGCATCTTCAATTCTTCTTACTTTTTTTTTTTAGATGTAATTTCTTTTTCGGAAGGTAAATTTAAGTAAAAATAATCTATGAATTTTCTTCAATCTCATCATACCAAATCAAGAAAAAAGACTGAATTTTCTTTTGTGGATTTTAAAAAAAAAAATTTTTTTTTGGGAGAGGGGGAGGGGGATGGAGAGGAGAGGAGAGAATGGGGTTAAAACCTCGACTTTAAGAAGGCAAAACTTTCACAAGATAAAAAATATCATTAAATCAAAGATCCGTTGATAAAACGTCGTCTGGACGGATAGATCCTTGTCAAATGATTTGTGATTTTACACAACTGACAAAGTGTCACTTGACATTTTTTTTCTTTTGTGGATTTGGAATTCACTCGACAGCTTCAAAACAGGAGTGGGTAGTAGAAGTACTTCTACTTGATGCCAAATCAAGCACTGTTCTTTCAGGTATAAATAGATTCACATTAAAAATTTATATACTATCTTGTAAGTTGTACCTACTCTACTCTACGCTACTTTACTGGACGATTTTATGAATAAGTGTTAGGGGTCTTGGTACTTCGTGTTGTTACTACTTTCTGGAGCTTCTTTCTTTAGACACCCCACCCCACTCCTATTCTATTTTCCATGTGCAACAGGCCTCAGATTGAAAAATTCCCTTATTACTTGTTTAATGACTTAATTCACGCTTCCATGTTTAACTTTATTTTTTCATGTATGTACCGCATAAATGTATCATGTATATGTTGTGTTTGTCGATATTATTATATACTAGGAATAACTTGTGCTTGAAGGCACGATACAATATAAATCAACCGATTTATTTAAAAAAAAATTACTTTAATTTGCTTTAATTAAATAAATTGAAATCAATATAAACAGGTTGACATTAGTTGACAATTGCCATTTGACAGAAATTCCTCTAACAATAGAAGCCCAAGAAATTCGCAATTTGTCTACATAACTCAAAGTCTCTTGAATTCACAATTTACAATCAAACATAACAATAATCAGAATTCAAAATCAAAATTCTCCCAAAAATCATCATTCCGGTCCCACCTATCAAAATAAGCATCAATTCGAATCAAAATAAATCAATCACACGTGTGTTTGGTTTACTTTACTAAATTCAGTTCACACAACAGACACAAAAAGAAAACCAAGGCAGACAACCAGTGACTAAAGACACTTTGTAGCCCACGAAAATCCGATTAATTTGATGTAAGTTATTATTTATTTCATTTAATTAAAGGAAGTAAAATCAATGTAGTAAAAAAAAATTGGGTCACGTAAATCAATCAATCTAGAAATAACCTGATTTTTTTTCAAATTTTTGACATGATTTCTTTTGAAAATAGGAGATCACGAAAATATAAACCTATTTACAGAAATGAAAAATGAACGAAAAAATCCGACAAAATCAACGATCCATATCCAACAACCAAAACAACAAGCAATTTCACATAAAGCCAAAAAAATCTCCATAAACGTTTAATTAGTTCACCATATTAAACACAGAATAAACAAAAACTCACGTAAATCTGATTAATTTGATACAAGTTAGTATTTATATCATTCAATTAAGAAAGTTAATTCAATCTAATAACAACCCGTTATCTTTTGCAAAATTTTGACAGAGTTTTTTTGAAAAAATAGGAGGCCATAGAAATGTCAACCTGTATACATAACTGTAAAACAAACATTGCAATCCCCAAAAATCAAACAATTCATACCCAACAACCTGTGCCCAAGGGCACGACGCAATTGCAATTGCACATCGTAGTTTAAAATTGAGTTGGTGTCTACCCTAAAAATGCACAATATAAAATGCAAACACATAACAGTTTTATGTACACTTGAGTGCACGATACAATTTTAAGAATAATTCACAAGCATATTTAGACTACACATAATATATTCACCATATCATATGTTTACCCGGTTGTTATATCCAAAATAACAGAATTTTTTTTTTATCAATTACAAAGTAGACAACTACATGATAATTAGAGTTGCTATGGGGCATGGAATGGCAGCCTCGCGGAAACAACCAGTGCATCCAAATATTCGGGAGCTTTTGCCCAAACCCATGCCCTCTCAAAACTTAATTCTCAAATCCAGTCTTTTTTTAAAAACGTAATTTGAAATGACGATTTAAAATTTAAATTTTTTCCTAAAAACGTCATTGATAATGACGTTTTTTAAGTCGTCGTTCAAAATGACGTTTTTACACATGATTTTTTTAAACGGTAATAATAGACGTTGAAATTTATAAAAGGGAGAAAAACGTCATTTACAATGACGATTTTAACGTTCAAATTAATTTCAAATATTATATCACATGCTATTCAAATATCACAGGCTACTTAAATTAATTTCAAATATCACACTACTCCCACTTAACTCTCCTCCGCCTCAACCACTCTCAGTCGGACAACACTCTGACGAGCTCCAACCAGCGGCCACAGCCTCCACCACCAGCGACCACAGCCTCCAACGAGCTCCATCACCAGCGATCACAGCCTCTACCACCAGTGACCATAGCCTCCAACCAGCCACCACAGCCTCCACCACCAACGACCAGCGACTTCCACTAGGTGAGCAATGAGTACATTGTCCATTCTCCATATTTGCCCTAACTATTTTTTGCCCAAAATCAAATTTTGCCCTAAATCCGATTTTGCCCTAAATTGAATTTTGCCCTAACCAATCTTTGTCAAATTATGTCAGAATTTAAAATCTTAGAATTATTTCAGAATTTTGCCCTAAAATTTGATTTTGTCCTAAATCGAATTTTGCCATAACCAATCTTTGTCAAATTATTTCAGAATTTAAAATCTGCCTCTTTGGTGCAAATCATTCATATGAACCATTGCCCCTGATCTCTTAGAATAATAGAAAAAGAGAGCAATGACATAGTAATATGACTTTTCTTGCTCTATTCAGTTGTTTAATAATTATGTGAAACACTAAGCACAAATATCTGGATTGCATAAAATTTATAAGTAAAATAGACTTGGTAGTGAACGTCTCGTTCCCTGACGTACGCTGGTTTTTGATTTTAGCTTCTCGAGTAAGTCGCAAGTGTCTATCGATGTTTATTGTCATAGATGTCATCCCAGAAAAACTCGATGTTTTATATAAAAGTGTCTATACACTCTAATATACGTGCNCTGACGAGCTCCAACCAGCGGCCACAGCCTCCACCACCAGCGACCACAGCCTCCAACGAGCTCCATCACCAGCGATCACAGCCTCTACCACCAGTGACCATAGCCTCCAACCAGCCACCACAGCCTCCACCACCAACGACCAGCGACTTCCACTAGGTGAGCAATGAGTACATTGTCCATTCTCCATATTTGCCCTAACTATTTTTTGCCCAAAATCAAATTTTGCCCTAAATCCGATTTTGCCCTAAATTGAATTTTGCCCTAACCAATCTTTGTCAAATTATGTCAGAATTTAAAATCTTAGAATTATTTCAGAATTTTGCCCTAAAATTTGATTTTGTCCTAAATCGAATTTTGCCATAACCAATCTTTGTCAAATTATTTCAGAATTTAAAATCTGCCTCTTTGGTGCAAATCATTCATATGAACCATTGCCCCTGATCTCTTAGAATAATAGAAAAAGAGAGCAATGACATAGTAATATGACTTTTCTTGCTCTATTCAGTTGTTTAATAATTATGTGAAACACTAAGCACAAATATCTGGATTGCATAAAATTTATAAGTAAAATAGACTTGGTAGTGAACGTCTCGTTCCCTGACGTACGCTGGTTTTTGATTTTAGCTTCTCGAGTAAGTCGCAAGTGTCTATCGATGTTTATTGTCATAGATGTCATCCCAGAAAAACTCGATGTTTTATATAAAAGTGTCTATACACTCTAATATACGTGCATACCATCTGAACTTTTTCTTTGATTTTATGTTTTATTCAAAATTTTAGTAGATTTATATGCCTGTCATATGTACTTTTGATTTGCTTTGATGTTTGAATGAGAAATTTGAATTATTTATGAGAATTAATGTTGTGGACTTGAAAAGTTTTCAATCTTTATGCTCACTTTGATATAAGCATACTGGAACTATTTCCATTTAACAAGACTTCTACATCTTCTCTTGACTTTTGTTTTGTATATGAAGTTTTGAGATCGTAGCTACCATCATGATAATGTGGATTGAGTTGAGTCTGGAGGTTTTCCCCAAACATGATAATTCTACATGATAATTCTACATGATAATGTGGATTGAGTTGAGTCTGAAAGTTCTAAGATCGGAGCTACCATCATGATAATTCTACACATCATGTACATGGAAATCACTANTCTACATGATAATGTGGATTGAGTTGAGTCTGAAAGTTCTAAGATCGGAGCTACCATCATGATAATTCTACACATCATGTACATGGAAATCACTATATACTAGGCTTCTTTCCATCTAAATAATATTTAAAGGAAATGAGAAAGCAATAGAGAAAGACCCAGCACCAACAGTTGAATAAAAATAAATATAGTCATCCACTACTTTTAGTTTCGTTATGAATTTACTGTGATCAAATTTTCTTTTGGATGATGCACTAATGTCTCACTGTTTTTAGGGACGGCATGTTGCTCCATGTTTGTTCTCCAGGATGTTGCTTTAAATCCCACCTATTTTCGTGGATTGCATACTTGTTGAGAAATAAGTACCAAAGTAATTTGTACTCTTTTGGGATCATTTCATCAGCATTGATGCATAAATATTTGGCCTACTTACTCTAACCCATGCTCATTGTATTAGTTGTAATTTCTAAAACTAGATCAATCACTGAAGTAGAGAGTTTGCCAGATAATTTATCACTCATTTTCATTAGTTGGGGGTTGAATCATGATTTTTCGATAAAGCCATTATTTTATACATGTGAAATGCAATAGACATGATGCCAAAGTTGTTGTGGGATAGTTGAACAATGTCAGTGATAATATCATTTTTGTAATTTTTTTTTTATTAATAGAAATTTTTTTTTAGAGAAGTGATAAGTCAAAGGGGTGTGATTGTGTTTATGTTCAACAAGGAAATCAAAATACAATCGCACACAAAAAATTATCTTTTGAAATCGTCATTCCAAGTGCGGTAGGCCCGTAAGAAAAAGTAAAATCAATAATACCATTGTGAGTCTAGATTTTGTTTAAGTCAGTTCTTAATGATTTATTTCAAACAAATTACTATCTCTCTCTTTTCTGTATTTAATTTAACTTGTATACAATATTTCAATGTATAATCCCATATGGGAAAATTGTTAGGAGTTATTCGATGTATNATTCTCTCTCTCTCTTCGGTATTTAGTTGAACTTGTATACAATATTTCAATGTATAATCCCACATGGGAAAATTGTTAGGAGTTATTCGATGTATTTATTTTGACTGTTGGTAATTCAAATGTCTCAAATTCAATTTTTTTGCATTCTCTGTAAAAGTTAGTCACTCTTGTGCTCTAATTTTAGATTTTTTTTCTATACTTTTTCATCTCTTCCCCTCAAACCAGTCACGATTGAATGAATGAGTATAGTCTATTTTGCACAGTGTTGGAATCCTAATAATTAAGATATTAATTGATTGGAGCATATCAAACTTAATTTAGGAGGGACACAAAAGTTTCCATTAGAATTGGCGAGTTCATTTTGTAAAGTTTTTAAAATATTTTAGCAGTTTTAATAGATTACTTTCCTGATGTAAGTGCCAACCATTTTATGTACTTAATGTGCTCCTTCATTAATATTGGGTGATTGAAAATTAGAACGGGCTACCCGGTTTATTTACATTTCAAAACATGAACAAGCAAAAGTTTCGATGAAAGCAAAAGTTTTGGTTGTTTATACACACTAACTTTTGATATATTTATTGTAGAATTGTTAAGAATGGCCAAAAGACGTGCTTCTGTGATGATTTATTGGGGTGGTAGCATATTCAAGAACCATGATGTATTACGATACGATAATGGTTATAAGCGTGTGATAAAGGTTTCACATGACACAACATACTCGACATTGGTGGATAGGTTGCATGATGTGACGGGGATAGATAGGAATAAATACAACCTCAAACTTATCTGTAGGTTTCCTACTGCATTGGGAACTAACTTGTTTACATATATTCCAGTAGAAGTTGTTGACAACGATGGTGTGGAGGCAATGGTGGATGTTGTATTTGACAATCAAGGTGTTAACAAAGTTGATTTGTATGTTAGCGAAGAGGTTAAGGCAGATGACATTGGTGGAAGTAATGAAGGTTGGCCTGATGTTGGTTCATACACTTCCATGCTCAGTCAACAACCATATCTCCCAGTGCTCGACCCTTCAGCCATGGTGGGTAATTATTACACCCCTTTAACAATGCAGTGTATGGAAGAATACAATCGATATACACATGCACAGGCTGAAATAGGGCCTAGTACTTTTCCCGAAAGCTCATCTTAGCAAGAGTATAGTGTTGGACTGGGGTACGAGAGGATGGAAATGATTACAGTGNATAGGGCATAGTACTTTTCCTGAAAGCTCATCTCAACAAGAGTATAGTGTTGGACTGGGAAACGAGGGGATGGAAATGATTACAGTTACCCCAACACCAGCGCTAGTGGACCCTGTCCAAGCACTTGTACTGCAACAGATTGCTAATAATATATATGAAGGAATGTGTGCTAATGACCAAAATGATTACTACGAAGAAGAAGAGTTGCCAAAAAATGTATTGAGTGATGACTCTGATAATGATGATTATGATGTTGAAGGTAATTCTGCTGAGGATGATGCTGAGGTTCCTATGCATGAGCCGGAGTCAATATTTTTCTCAAATGTTGAATCGGGAAACCAGAATGAAGTTGACAGTTTGTGCATTTTGCATGGAATTAAAACATGGGATCCTACAAGACCAGAATTGGCTAAGGGTATGGTGTTCAGGAGTAAAAAAGACCTGGAGATGGCAGTTAAATTGTATTCAATTAAGATGCACCAACAATATGTTGTTGTTGATACAAATAAAACGCGTTGGGTGTTGAGGTGCAAGATGTATGCACAATGTGGATGCAAATGGAGGCTACGGGCGGTGTTGAAGGCGAAGCATGGAATGTTTGAGATCACAAAATATTAGGCACCTCACACTTGTTTCTACCCAAGGTTAAACCAAGATCACTGTCAGCTTGATGCAGGTTTTATTTCTCAATAGATTGAGGGTGTGGTTCGGGCAACACCTGATGTAACAATGTCTGTCATCATTGAAATGGTGAAAAAAGAGTATCATTATTTGATAACGTACAAGAAGGCGTGGAATGCGAAGAATAAGGCTATAGCCAAGGTTTTCGGTGACTGGGATTGTTCTTACAACATGTTGCCGAGGTTTATGGTTGCTCTTGTGAAATACAACCCTGGGACGATTGTAAAGTGGCAATATGAGGCACGTGCTCCCGAATTCGATATATTTGGAAAGGTGTTCTGGACATTCAAAGCTTCTATTGATGAGTTTGTTCATTGTCGGCCTATAATCAGCAACGATGACACGTTTGTAAATGGCAAGTACAAGCATAAGCTTCTTATTGCTACTAGGATTGACGTTCAGAAGCAGATTTTTCCTCTAGCATTTGCCTTTGTTCATGAGGAGACTAGTGAAAGCTGGGGTTGGTTCCTATATCATCTACGTCACTCTGTTGTGCCGAATAGAGTTGGTATATGCTTAATCTCAGATCGACATAAAGGTATAATTTCAGCAGTTAAGAAACAGGGTTTTGGGTGGAATGAGCCATACGCCTATCATCGTTTCCGTCTAAGACATGTACAAAGCAATTTGAACACACGTTACAATAACACGTATTTAAAAGATCAAGTGTGGAAGGCTGGGACAACACATCAAATTCGCAAGTTTAATTTGATAATGGAAGAAATTAAAAGTATAAATCCTGAAGCATGGAAGTGGTTAGCTGATATTCCAGCACAACAGTGGACACTTGTCTATGATGGTGATCGGCGATATGGAACAACCACAACTATTGTTTCTGAGGTGTTCAATGGTGCATTGAAAGGTGTTAGGATGCTTCCCATCACTGCATGTNAGGCGAAGCATGGAATGTTTGAGATCACAAAATATCAGGCACCTTACACTTGTTTCTACACAAGGTTAAACCAGGACCACTGTCATCTTGATGCATGTTTTATTTCTCAATGGATTGAGGGTGTGGTTCGGGCTACACCTGATGTAACAATGTCTGTCATCATTGAAATGGTGAAAAAAGAGTATCATTATTTGATAACGTACAAGAAGGCGTGGAATGCGAAGAATAAGGCTATAACCAAGGTTTTCAATGACTGGAATTGTTCTTACA